CAGCATCTGGAGAAGATTGGAACACATGGCGCAACGTCGTAGAATGGGCACTCCTATCTGAAGGAGGACATAACACGGCGCCGCATATGGATAGTCACGGCTATTCAACCTGGATTACGGTCCAAGAAGGAAACATTGGCTTTGGATGGATCTCGCGCCCAAGCCAGCAGGAAGAAGATGAATGGATAGCCAATCCGCATGGCTATACCGGTGGTGAATGGAGATACGTCATTCTCTCACCGGGGCATACGGTGTTCTTCCCCTCTGGCACGATCCACTTCGTCTTCAGGGTACAAGGAGTACAGACATTTGCCCTCGGCGGCCACGTCCTTCAATGGTCTGGCATTGAGCGGTGGCTTGAAGTGGTCGTCGCTCAACTGAAAAACCCGGAGATTACTAACGAGGACATGGCATCGAGTGCGCCAAAGTACGTTCAAGTCGTCAAGCGACTTGTTGCAAACGGGATGAAGGCTGGCCGGGTGGAAGAGATGGGCGGTCGAGATGCAGTCGCCAGACTGTCCGCCTTACTAAAGGTAAGGGGTCTACACATCACATTTGCGACATGCGGGCTAATGATCGTTAGGATTTCGACAGCGTTGCTGGGGGCTCGCGTATGAAAATGAGCAAACCCCGAACGCCCCTGCGTCAACAGAAAGGTGTGTGCATAATCCCCTTTGGAATTTTCGTCGCTAATTATGAAGGGGACGCTCCGGATCTCGTTCATTCGATCCCTTGTCAGCCTCCTAGGCGCCTGCTGCCGACATGTGCCCCAGAACGTTCCGCCTAAGTTTGAGCCATGGTACCGGGCCGCTTCGGAACTGGGTAGGGTCTTCCGGACCATATATGGGCTTTGGGTGTGGTTATTCCTATGCCGCCTGCTGCCGTGTCCGGACGAGTGCACAAAATGGCAGATCTGGAAACCGCCCACCAGACGGGTCCGGACGTTAACAAGGCTGTGGCTGTCAGGGTCAAGTGGTATCCACCGCCGCCGCGGCTGCTGCTGCTGGTGTTACGCGTCCCAACGTGGCGCCCACTGCTAACGCTCCGGGCGGAAAAGTGTCAGCCGCGACGGTAATAAGCGCCCCTGCAGCATGAGGTGAATGGGGCCAACTCTCCATGCCCACTCTGCATGTAGATAGATCATCTCTTCTGGTATCAACAACGGTTGGACGCTTTGCGCAGAACAAGTTGCCAGAAAATCATGTAACCACAAGGGGGTCACTCCTTGACCGTTGTGCAACACAGCGCGCCGGATTTTCCAGGCCTGGCTGGAGGTGGTCGTGGAAAGTGCCCCCTTTTAGCCTCCCTTAACTATCTACGGTAAGCACGCGCAGGGTTTTAGCCAGCAGGACCATTAACGTTGCCATATGACCTGGTCCTCTGCCTGCAGACTTGGGAAGGGCACTTCGGTGGCTGGGTCATTGGGTGGATCTCCAGGCACAGGGTTGCCGCGGCCATCTCGGCCGGGTCGCCCAATTCCTTCCTAATCATGGCGGTGCCAACACCAACCGCAGACCGACCGCAGCTGTTAGGAAAGCCGACGCTGACCACAGCCAACAGAATCCCGATGATCCGGTGCCCCTCGAGCTAAGGCTTATCGATGTAAATAATTGCCTTGCCTGCCTGCATCAAGACCTGTCACATGTCAGCCAATGAAGTCCATCGTCACACCTGCCCGAGAAAAGCGGTTGGCAGATGTCCGTGGTTTGCCTGCTTCAGTCGCGGGATGCCTGAGGGAGGCCTCCCGCATTCGCATTCTGCTCCGTCTGTGGTGGCACAAGCCTCATAATCTACGGTTTGCCCAGCTTTCCCTCCCATCCATCGAATTTTGAAGGCTTTTTACAACACCATCAGAGATCGTTTCAGAAGACACACTGCTCGCAATCCTATTTGCTACACAATTAGCAGCTTGTTGCTCCAATCTGTTCCCCAAGCGTCTTGGATCCATGTCGTTCAAGTCATTAGCCGTGGCGCCGATCTACTCATCTTTGCGACCCGTGAGGGACAGCGGCAAATACTCCGACCTCATCGTCACCTGCAAAAGCCAAACCTTCAACGCCCATCGCGTCGTGCTATGCTCCCAGTCAGAGTTTTTTGATAAAGCTTGCGGCGGGCCCTTTATCGTATGTTGCCTTCGCGTACCCTCCCCTTCCTTGATTGCGCCAATAAATCGCCACTCGTATTCTGGTAATTATTACTACCAGGTTCTCTGGCCTTATACTGACAGCCATATTAGGAGGCATCGAGTGGGAAGATCGACCTCCCTGACGATGATCCCGCCCTTGTCCAGAAGTTGATGGATTTCTTCTACACTGGCGATTACAGCCAAACAACCAAGGCATCAGATGGCTGTGAGTCGAAGCCAACGTCTCGGTCGCCAACAGTAGCGCATGCAGCGGGAGGGCAGAAGGGGGGTAAGTGCATCATTTAATGTATCTCTATTCTTTTAGGCTCTCCAGTCTATGTCAAATATAGGATCTGGCCGGGATTTCAGTTGGGTGAAGCCAGGCAAGCGACAAACACATTCAGCTAACATTAAAAAAGCCGAGGTTTCCGACGATACTTGCTCGATTCTTTTTGACGAAGCCAAGGTTTACATCATGGCGGACAAGTTCATCATTCCAGCTTTAAAGGACATAAGCTTGGAGCGGTTCAGAAGTGCCGCCAACCGTGCCGAGGGCATGTCCAGCTAGCAATGCGATAGCTTCCCGCTGGTCGCCGACGAAATATACAACTCAACCACCCGGTCCGACCTAGCTCTAAAGGAAATCTTGTGCCGGCTCCTCGTCAACAAGAGGGGAAACAAGGAGCTGTGGTCGTCGATGCAGCCAGTTTTCCGGAAGCATGGAGATCTGGCCACCGGTGTTCTCAACTATTGGAACGGCGACTACGGAACCCTTAAATGTCCTCGTTGTCCTCGTTGTGCGCAGGTTGGAAACTGCGACGGGGTCCGGAAAGGCAGTTGCTATTGCCGCTACTGTGGAAATTACCACCAGCACGATAGCAACGCTGGCATCAGTACTAACACGGAAGATTGGATACAGAAGGAGATCGGCTTTATAAGCATGAAGGGCTAAATGCTTCCACAATCGCACCACGGCATCAACTGGCAAGAGGACATGGAATTAGTTGGTTAATAGGGAGTGAAGTAACCTGTGTTGTAATTACTAATCCAAAGCTCTAGGACGCGGAGACGATTTGGAGGGAATGTCTTCCTGTGTCTTTGACCAAGGTCGATCGGGCTGTTACTAGAGGGGCCGCGGAAAAGCACACCAGAGCACCGAACACGAAGAGGCTTTTGTTTGCTCGACCAGTGCCAGCGAAGCCCGAACATATCATTTTGAGCACAGGCTTACTTGCCCCCTGCAAGACTTACCCGCGCGTTTGCCGGTCAAAGAACTCGCGGAATCCCAAAGAAGGTCGTTTATACTTTATTAGCCGGTTTCTGAACTCTGGTGGATAGGAGTCGGCGAGGCATACATCCCACTCTGCCTTTTTCTTCTTTTTATATCTTTTGTACCTGACTTGTGGAGTTATGCATCTTGCTGGACATGCGGCGGCGCGCGTTCAAGGTTAGCACGATGAAGTCGGCGTGGTCAAAGTGCGGGCTTTGGCCGTTCAATCCGGAGGTTGTGCTTGATAATCTCGAGGATCCATTGACCTCCGCGAAATCTGCCGCCGTAATAACGCAAAAGGTTGGGTATATCCCGGACACTACAGAGCAGATCCGCCGGATCGAGCGACGAGGTCAGTTTTTAGGTTCTTTTTTTGACGACGACGACGAGCCTCACCCTCCCGTCAGCCCTCACCGGCTTTACTCGCGCACAACTGGAAAGAGGCTACAACTCCCCCGTTAGATCTATCGGATATCATCCCGTTCGAGGATTGGCTTGAAGAACGCCTGCATTCCTCCGCCAATTCCGGCAGGGCCGTCTCGCCAACGATGCTTCACGTATACTCGAAGTGAAAAAGGCAACCCACGCCGCGATACTCGCCGGCGCGGGTGCGGTCGAGGAGCTCCGGCGCCGCGAGCAAGCCCAAGTTGAGCGCAAACAACGTGCCTCTCTAAACAGGTTGATCACCAAGATTGGGCCGATCTCTGTTGACGACGCGCGCCTGCGGGCGATCAACAACGAGGGCAACCGCCTCGCTTTTAAGCGGAGGGAACGCCGGCGCCTGCGAGGCAAAGAGTTGAGGATGAAGTTGAGGATACTCAAGCGTTGGCTGTGAGAGTATAGGCGACAGGAGGGCACGCGCCTTAAGCAGTTGCGGGCGCGCATGCGATTAGAAAAGGCCAAGTGCAAAGAGATTGCCGACCTCGTGCGCCCTCAAGAAGATGCCCTCGCCAACGAGGCCACCGTTTTCGGCAGGTACTGGCAACAGCGCCGGGAGCGCGACGATCGGTTCCATGCCTTGCAAGAATGAGGCTTTGCTTCTTGCCCGTCTACAATCTGATAGGGAAGAAGACGACGTAGCCCTTCCTCCCAACTGGCAGCCTACCGAGGCGCTCTCTCCCTACACGCCGTGGCGCCCCACGGCACGAGACGAGGGCACGGTCTGGAAGGTAGTGCGCTTCTACTGGTGAGAGAAGTACGGCCCAGATTACGCCTTGGGGGTCACTTTTCCGGGCAAATATACGGCAGAGGACTACGAGGTCTCCTCTCTGGAGGGCACAGATACGGAGGGAAGCGTGATTTCTGCGTCAGATACTGCTGATCGCGATAATCAGGACGAAAAGGCTGATCTAGGTGACTTGATTGATCCCGCCCTGGCTTGAATAGCGTCATTTTTCATCAATTTACTCCAGAGTGCATTTCTCTTATTTGCACGAACAGGGCTTGGGCGCTGGAGGTGGCCCGTGTCGTACGCAGTTGGGTGTCATCCTCTTCCCACCCTGTACATTGCAGCCTGGCTAAGGCGGCAGAAAACAGGTGGCCTATAGCGGACCCTTCCCTGGCCTTTGATAGGCCCGGATATTGGAAACGGCTTCTCCAAAAGCCCTTCCTTTTTGCTTCGTTCGTCGAAGCCACTAACTATTACACTACCGCTGGACGATAACGATAGGGCCCAAAAAGCCCGCATATAACCTTTTCCCTTTTTCTCTTACACTTTTTACCTTTTCCTTTGTACTACCAGGACCAACAGTAGGCTCGTTAGTCCCCCGCACCTCCAGCCGGGCCCAGGGAGGTCCCGAGGATCCCCCCGCCCAAACCCGGCCTTACCCCTTTTCCGGCAACCCGCCGGCCGACAGCATTACTACCGCCCGCAGCGCTTCACAACGCCCCGGCGCATACACATACGCCCTATCGCCGATCGCCCGCTCACTAGCAAGGAGTACCGGCATGCGGCCCGACTTCCGTGTGCCTTCGGGTTTAATTTATTAGCCGCCTTAATAGCAACATGTAGCCTAATGTTAGCTTAGGTAGCGCTAGCACGTCATATGCCCCCTGGGAGGCAGGGACTGGTAGATCCCGACTTACTGACGTTAAATATACTCACTCACTCACTCAATTACCACCTGGCTCCTAGGCCACTAGCCCCTTTCTCGCTCAATTCCTTATGGCCACAGCTTATGCTGCCAGCTCCGAAAGACGGCCAGTTTCACCATTTTGCAGGAGGCAATCCCAGCCCCTATTTTTATCGACGCCGTGCCGAGCTACGGCTACAACGACCTGTCTGACTGCGGCGGTCGCTGGCCCTTGGCCATGGCGGCTGCTGTTACCACTGAAGACCCCACTATCACTGGGGGCTCGCTCTCGAGCGAGACATCTGCTTTTAGGGGATTGCAGTAGATGATGGTAGAGGCGTAGGCTACGAGCGCCGTCGAGCTGTTCCATCGGTACCGTTTTTACGCCGCCGCCTTTTACGAGCCGTGTTTCGTGAGTGCCATCTCGCATAAACTAGCTGGCTGGCTCAAACTCCATCGAAATAAGGGAGACGCGTTCCCATTGCAGGTATTCCTGACCAAAACAGAGGATGCGAGTACTGTGAAATGTGAGTGGGGTTCCGAAAAGGCATCGACGGGCCTATGTATTTGAGCAGCTTTCCAAAACTGCCTCGGACCCCCAGGCTCTCCTATAGTTGCCCTTTGGAGTACTACGAGGAAAATCTTTTCACGTTCTGCAATAGGAACCAGTTCTTAGCGTGAATTAAACCGGCGAAACGACGTAAGATCCTTTTGCTCTCCCTTAAAGCTGAACTTGATCAGCTTTTGGGCCTTCCGAACGGTTGCAAGCCCTATGGCTAGCATTAACGATAGCAGGCCGCCCGGTTTTCGGTATTTTCCGAATTTTGGCTTGGCTTAGCCTGTTTGCCCCTGTAAGCAGAGCGTGGACTTCACGGGCTTTTAATCCTATCTAAGCACCACCTCGACTGCCTTCCTATCCCGCACAAAGTGAGCCTCGCTCTTTTTGTCCGTACCAAAGCGTGCCCGTTCCCACCCCCTTAAAATCATATCGTTAAACAGATCGCAGCCTTTACGCGAAACTGCGCTATTGCATGGGATGGATGATGCCCAGTGGGAAAAAAGAGCAACGGACGAGAACGATGGTTGTGATGACTGCAATTTCGGAATTAGACTTTCAAAAAGCCCACTGGAGGTGGGACAGGCTGGAAATGAAATGCGCTGGAGATTTAATAACTTGCGAGAAAAAACGACGGGGGAAGGTTTAAGTGCTCGAAGTTAGGTATTGCCTCGGCAACGGTAAGAGACTCGAAGCCTCGGGAAGCCTCAATTAAGGCGAGTGATGACGCTTGGTGGCGCTTGCCTAAAGTCGACCATGTTCGAATCCCAGCAGTTCACGTTGAGCGCCCTATCCCAATTCTTGTATCTTGTCTTGTATTTTGTCCTGTATCCTTTGTCAACCCATAGAAAATGGAACAGAAAAATGGAACAGGAAAAGGGAAGATTAAAGTAGCTAAAAAAGGGGAAAATTCAGCTCAAAAGATAAAAAAAGGCGACCATTTCCCCTACCCAAAAGCTTGAGCAGTTCCCGCACCCGATTGCGTTTGTTTGGTCACGGCCATCGAGGAGCGGAACCTGGGGCTGGTGGCGCAGCTTGTCTCATGGACAACGTAACGTGGCAGCAAGCGGTAAACCCTAAAGTTGCGCAGCCTCGGTTGTCATTAAAGGTTCACTGATCTTATGGACGACCAAAGCTGGCAGAAAAGCGTAGCACAGGATCCGTAAACCCTAGAATGTGACTACTGTCTAGACACAAAACCGGCGACTGCCCCGCCACAGCCATTATGAAACCTAGACATTTTCAAGTTCGAATACGGCAGCCCTGACCGGGGCTATGACTTTAGCGCTTGGTGGCGTCGCAGTGGCCGTCCCGGCTCAACCACCGAGTTAATACTGAAGGAGGTTGATAACCAGGAGCACCTGAATATGCTAAGGAGAGCTGTGATTGCAAGGCTTTGTTGGACAGCCAAAACGGACAAGTAGTACTTTTTCTTAACCAGACTGACTGAACCCAGTGAACAAGTTATTCCGGAGTGACTGGTAAAGAGATCTTATGGCTTCCCAACTTTTGCCTTTTGCTCCTCATTCTTTCCTCCCCTCACCCTCTACCTCCATCTTTCTCTCCCGCTGTAGCCTTCGAAGGGTGGGGGCCACGCTGCCGACCCCGGTTCGGGGCGAGGAGGAATTGTGGTGTGTCGTCAAACCCTTCACAACGAACGCGTTGGGGTGCATAAGCGCGTTCATCGCCCCCCAGACACAAGTTAAGTTGCTGGACCGAAGATATTTACGGAGCTGAATAAGGGCAAAACATTTAGAGATACAACATGTAACAGCAAAATATAAACCGGCTACCGACTCAAAACAAGATAAATCGTACATGGCTGGGTTCCGGCTTTAGGAAAGAACAAAGAAAATAAATGGTGGATGGGCACCAGCCCTGAACGGAAAGGTATTGTATTTCTGCTCCAAGCATCATAGCCGAAAAACCCCTTCCTGATGCTATCCGTGATATAAAAAAGAGGAGGGGCGAGGCATAAGTTGTTAAGTGGGTGATCATACAAACGGGGACAAGCGTAAATGTGCTAAACGTGACAAAGAAAGAAAAAGCCATCCCTTAACATTAGGGTGTGAAGTACCTAGTCTCAGAGAACTCTGCATGTCTCGTTTGGCGAAAAGATTAGGTTGTTCCGAGGATCTGCTTATAGCTTCTCGATAAAGGTAGAGTCGGGTGCCCTAAAGTCCTTCTCCTGGAGAACGATGCCGTTTAGCATCATGCCTATGTGCGTCTTGTCGATGCTCTCGCGGTCACGGCGAATTTTGGTCATAAGGATTTTCAGTTGTGATGATGATTCAGGGGTTAGCCATTCTGCGTCAGCACAGGATAAAGGTGACATCCAGGAAGTCGAGGCCATCACTTACGAATGGGACAGGATTCTGTATGAATGCACACACCTCCCCGTCTGTTCCGTCCCCCTCTCTCGAAGACGGGTCGATGAACCCATCGGCATGGACAAAGACCCCGTCGCCTAGGCCGCCCGCCCAGTCGAGCCCGAACGTCTCGCAGATGGCCTTGTACTTGTTATAGGATGAAATAAAGAGCTGCCCAGAAAAGACGTTGAGCTGTGCCTTGAGCTTGAGCGGGCACGTCCAGGTCGGAGGCGGCGTCGGCCGGGCGTGCAGCAGTAGGTGGTCGAGCGGGGCGAGGCTCATAGTCGAGCGAGGCGCGTACAGGTGCAGGATCATCTTTCGGTGTGCGACAATCTCCTCCAGCAAGCCCTGGGCTTCGAAAGGGCTGATGAGGACCATTGTGCGCACCACGTCGGAGGGGTCGCCGCTGGTACTGGTTAGGATCCATCGAACCGCCCGCTGGTACTGGTCGAGCTGGCTCTTGGCGCCGAGAGTCGAGTTGCTCGACGTTTGGATCGTACTGGCGAAATCGCGAGTGGCCCGGACATCGTGGGGGAACTCGTGGACGCGCAGGCCGGTGGCGGCAGCGGCGCTCGTGCGGGCGAGAGAGTTCCAAGCGGAGGGGAAATATTGTGATGCCGGGGGGGCAGGGATTTCGCCAGTCCGAATAAAGTGCAGCACTGCCGCGTCGATCCTGTGGGGCGCCGGCTCGGCGGGCTTGGGCTTCTCAACGTGCCGCTCCTGTTCGATCTCGGGCGAAAGCTCTCGCTCCTGCTCCTCGTGCAGCGCGGCAGAGCCCAGGCTTACGGAGCTGAGCTTTGCGCAGCAGCCCACGATGCGGTCCACGCCCGGGTGCTGGCCGGTCTCTGGACAGCATGGTTTGGCGACGCGCTCGCCTGGCCGGTAGAGATCGTCGATTGTCTGGGCTTCGTCTTCGAGGAGCTTGTTTGCCAGGTCCTGGGTGATCAGGCCACTGTCCGCTTGGGAGCAAATGCTCTTTTGGTGGGCGTACCTCCGCCCTTGGACCGCCCACAGGGGAATGCTCCGCTGAATGTCAGCAAACGTCTCATGGATGGACCACTCCAGGACATCCATGACCTCGATCGAGTCTTTACCGGTACGCTGGAGGATCTTCGTCTCGATCTCCTGCGGGACACAGAAAGTGATGGACTGGCCTTTTCCAAGTTTCCGCATTCGCATGGCTGCCTGTGTCAGACTGTCTTTGGTAAGGTTGGCTCCGAGGGTCAAGGCAGCTCGATAGTTATCGGGAAGCTTGAGATCCGTGCCTCGGGTGTGCGCCTCGTCAAGGAAAACAAGGCACACGTCGAGCTGACGATAAAAGGGCGAAATTAAAAGCGGCTCGGTGTAACCTTTGAGGTCCACAACTTGCAGCTCGTCTTTGTCGTTGACGAAAACGCAGGCCTTCATGCCACGGTAGGAGTTGACCTCAGACTCCATTTTCAGCCACTTCTGGGCAACTTCGGCGTTTCCCAACTCGAGAATCTGTGCCCCAACGTCCAAGATGACCTGGACCTCATCCGACATATTCACCACCAAACTGAGGAGTAACTCGGCATCTGACGCCGGCGAGCCTTGGCGCGGCGGAATCGAGATCACGCTATTCTCATCTTGCAGTAGATACTTGAGAACGAGGCCGTTGGTGTGCTTCTGGTCGGGCAGGTCGAGATGATTGACTGACAGTGGGAGGAGCTCCCGGGAGTCGTTTGTGCCCGAGAAGCCGGTGGTTGGGTAACCCTTTTCTTCTCCGAGGTCCCATCCGCTCTAGTTATGCTCAGTTAGCAGGCGGAAAAAAATGATCGCGGCCAGGACAGTGGTACTCACGGCACTCAGCTTGGAAGGAAACTCCTTCATGAACTTTGGATAAACGACTCGACTTGGGAAGAAATCGATCGCGCCCTTGGAATACCGCAGACAAGGGAAGATTTGCTGGGTACACTGTCCACGATCTTTGATGTTGACTCCGTCGAGGTGCTGGAAGGAAGAGGGCATGGAGTCTGCGTCTCTGACCCACTCATCGTAATCCTGTTCGGGCTGGTCTGACTTTAAAAGGTGGGTGAATGCAAGGAATAAGTCGTCGTCGGAGAAACCACCGTAGTATGAGCTCAGCGCGGTCAAAAGCATCACGACTTCCGGATGTGAAAATTCTGAGCGCGCCGAAGGGCAGTCCTTGGCCCGGTAGAGAACAGCGAGCCGTGTCGGCGGGTTGCGGCTTTGGTCGAAGCCGTAGCTGACCCTCCACCGCTTCGAAAAGACGAAGCCGAGAACTCCGCCAGCAAGGAGACCGCGAAGGAGAAGCAGTGGGCGCTGGGTCGACTCGCTCCAGAGACCGCGTGCTCCAGGAGTCTCAACGGCCGCAATTTCCTCGGGAGTCTTGTTTCGTCAGGTACGTGAGGAGTGCCGCACTGTGTTATGGAGGTGTAAGCCTGACATCATTCTCTGTGTTTGAAGTAGATTTATTGGATATGGGGAAAACAGGCAGAAATACCGAGGGCTTACTAACAACCCGGAGGGTGGGTGTATATATGGAATGGGATGGAGAGAAGAAAACAAGGAGGGACTCAAAGAAAGGAAGGGGAAAGGAGGGAGAGACGAAGAGGGGGAATGGGAAGAGGCAAAAAAAATAAAAGAACAGGAAAGGGCAGTTGAATCATCACTGACCGTGAGTAATCGCCCTGCCTGGCAATGGGCAGTCCAGGAAGTCCGGTCTGACAAATTCGCTTGGCGATAGCATGGACAAGGCAATTCTGAGCCTCTTGGTCGAATATACGGAGGCGGGGGAAGGACCCAGAGCCATTTTGGTCGTTAATCGCGAAGGATCTGGGCATCTCCTGGGCGATGGCCAAGGCCACATCCTTGACAACAGCCAGGACATTTAGAAGAAGATGCCACCTATCGGGACTGAAGTCGATGGGCCTCTGGGTACCCATAGTGTAGACAAGCTCAAACTTAACGCTGAAATTCTCGTCGCTCTCGTCCACAATGTCCCTCGACGTGGACTCAAGTAGGCATTGAGTCTTGATCAGTTCTTGACTGATCGAGGTCTTGCCGTCGATGAGGAACTCGAGGCCCATAAGCTTGAAGGAGAGCAGGTGCTCGGGCTGCACCAGCAAAACTCCGCCTTCTTCCCGGCATGCCTGCAGATCTCGCGCGATAGAGGACACCTGTGCGGCATTTAGCCGCAGCGCGCGGGAGAACGGAGGCTGGTGGATCTTGATGTCGAGGAGCCCGCCGAGCTTGGAAAGCAGCATTTGACGCATTTGGGGAGCTTGCGCCTTGGCCGCGACGACGCGGACCAGGCGGTTACCGTTGGCTAGGGCAGCGGCGACGGTGGGAACAATGACAGTCGACTTGCCCTCTCCCATGTTCAGCTGCATGACAGAGTTCCGGCCATCCGGAGGGCCGATCATCTGCCGAGCTATGTCGATCTGGACCTTGCGAATGGTGATATTGCTCTCGATCTCTATGAGCAGGGCAAACGGGTACTCATCAGGCGTCCGATTCTGGTGCGCCGTGTTTTCCAGCTCCTTGGCGAGGTTAGTTAGGCTGCTTTGAGATGCCAGTGCCAGCAGCCGCTTTGCACGCTGCGCGTCGTGATATGCCAGTCCGTATCGAATGAGAGCAGGCCTCCAGGAGGTAGGAATCGTCCTCAAGCGGGAGGCCGCAAGCTGTGACAAGAAGAAGGCTGGACAAATGCGCGGCAGTGGGGTAGTGCTTCGACCACCTAGGCCAAAAGAGGCAGCCTCGAGGGCGGCATACAGCGCGTCCCTGTACGAGCGGCACTGGAAAGAGTGCCTTTGCAGCGCCTGCTTGACCTGGCCGAGGCTTTGGAGAGCAACCTGCGATGGCTTGAGGTGGCCCTTTAGAGCGTGGGCGCTGCGTTCGAGATTATTCGCATAGCGCATCTCGAAGTCCGATTTGGCATGCGCCTGGATGCGCTGGACAAGGCTCTTGACGCGAGCTGGTGCGGCCTCGTGGGATCCCCGGGGCCCAAGGGGCGAGTCCCGAGGGGGACCATGGTGTCCGAAGATGTCGTCGGCAGATACGAAGCCCTTGATGCTGGTGCGGTGGTTGTCGACAAACGCCACAAGTGGTCCGTGGGCCACCACTGGTGGTGCGACGTCCAGGCGCAGCATCACTTGGCCTACCTTGCCCAAGTACTCGTAAAACAAGTGATTCGCGAACCAGACGGCGAACTTGTTCTGAACTTTGCCCTGTATCTCATCAACGCCAAAGTAGGTGTGCCACTTCGTCCCCGAGGGCGGTGCGGGCCGGTAGCAGGGCCACTGCCCTTGATAGAAGGAGACAAGCTCGGTCACCAGACTGTCCACCATCTGTTTATAGGCCCTGCCCCGACGCCTGCCCAAATCCTGATCGGTCTCCC